TATTAGGTATTACGGATACCTATCCTACAGAATTAATGTGAGGATTTTATGAGGTCACTTGTATGAACTATTTGGCGTAGAAACTGACTCTCAGTGGTCAGTCATCATAGACAGTCATCCTTTTCCTTCTTCCCTGTGTCCCTCTGTCCCCTTGCTGATTAAGGCCTTCAATAAGAATTAAACAGGGCAACTTGAAATCTTTCAAAGTAAAAATTTTTTGATGTATGTATGATTTTGGGCACAGGAACTCCTAAGAATTGCTTCTCATTTTTACTATTAAATGATTATTTGGAAGTCAAAACTTAACATTGCACTTATTTTAATTTTTTGACCAGTTTTCCCCAATCAGTGACTAAAAGATTCTGCTTTAAAACCAAGTTTGCCAAAGATATGTTTTCTTGTCGTTGGTAAGGTGGCATTGCTGAGAATCTAGCAGAGAAGTTGATCGGTGTTCTCTTTGAGGTGTGGTTACTAGCTTGTACTCGGTGCTTCCCAACACCTCCTTATTGGAAAACAGCCAAGGAGATGGTGGCTAACTGGAGGCATCACCCAGCAGTGGTGGAGCAGTGGAGCAAGGTCATTTGTGCGCTCACTTCCAGGTAGGTTATTGTCATTACCCTGCCTTCCTTCACCTGTCTGACCTTAGGCAGCTTCCTGGCATTCATGGTATACATTATTAAAAAGGCTGGCTCTGTTATTACTGTACTTTAGATACAGACCCGCCTTTTAATAATGTATTCCATGAATGAGCCACTTTTTAAACATAGATATAACAGTTTGGATAATGCCTGTTAAAAAACCTTTCAGAATAATCAAGTATTTTTGAGAAACAGATGAATTTTATACCCTACTTCCCTGACAAAAAAATTCCATTCTTGTTTTGATTATTAAAACATACATAATCATTATTTTAAAGAAACAAACCATAGAAAGGTATAATAGAAAAGTTAAGTTCTCCTGAAATCCTACCATGTATGTTTAGATATAATTTTACAGAAATGGGAACCTACTATACATGCTACTTTATAATCAAAGTAGGTAGTTTTTTTATAATAATAATTTTACCCTTTTACCATTTACATATAATACTGTCACTATTCTATAAGTATACTCTTAGGTTCATTTTTTTTCAGACTTATTTTTTCATTTCCATCCTGTTGTTAGTATATAGCCATATCTTGTTTTATTGCACTTTACTATGTCGAGCTTCACAGATAGCATGTTTTTTTGTTGTTGTTTTTTTCTTTCTTTCTTTTTTTTTTTTTTTTAAACAAATTGAAGGGTTGTAGTGACCCTGTACCAAGCAAGTCTGTCGGTGCCATTTTTCTAACAGCATGTGCTCACTTTGTGCCTCTGTCACATGTTGGTAATTCTTGACTATTTCAGACTTTTTTATTACGATTCTGTCTGTTATGGTGACCTGGGATCAGTGATCTTTGATGTTACCATTGTAATTGTTTTGGAGTGCCATGTACTACATCTGTATAAGATGGTGAACTTAATTGATCAGTGTTGTTTGTGTTTTGACAGCTCCACTGACCAGCTGTTCCCATCTCTTTCCCCTGCTTGAGGCACAATGATGCTGAAATTAGGCCAGTTAGTAACTCTGTAGTGGCCTCAAAAAAGTGTTCGAGTGAAAGGCACAAAGTGAGCACATGCTGTTGGAAAAATGGCACCGACAGTATCGCGTGTCTCTCACTTTAAATCCAAAGCTATAAATGATTAAGTTTAGTTAGGAAGGTGTGTTGAAAGCTGAAATAGGCTGAAAGCTAGGCCTCATACACCAATTGGTTAGCCAAGTTGTGAATGCAAAGGAAAAGTTCTTGAAGAAAATTAAAAGTGCTACACTGCTGAACACAGGGGTGATGAGAAAGCAAAACAGGCTTATATATGATATGGAGAAAGTTCGAGTGGTCTAGATAGGAAATCAAAGCAGTCACAACATTTTCTTAGGCCAAAGCCTAGTCCAGATCAAGCCCTAACTGTCTTTAGTTCTATGAAGGCTTTGAGAGGTGAGGAAGCTGCAGAAGAAAGGTTAGGAACAGGCCAAGGTTGGTTCATGAGATTTAAGGAAAGAAGTGTGTCTGTAATATGAAAGTGCAAGCTGAAGCAGCAAGTGTGATAGAGAAGCTGCAGCAAGTGATCCAGATGATCTAGCTAAGATCGTTGATGAAGGCGGCTTCACTAAACAACAGATTTTCACTGTGCGTTAAACAGTCTTATATTGGAAGAAGACATAATCTAGGACTTCTATAGCTAAAGAGTAGAAGTCAATGCCTGGCAAGCTGAAACCAGTGTTCATTCACCATTTGGAAAATCCTAGAGCACTTAAGAATGTTGTTAAAATTGTGCTTTCCTCGGCAGCATATATGCTAAGAATGATGTTAAATTTATTCTGGCTGGATGCAGTCGCTCACGCCTGTAATCTCAGCACTTTTGGGAGGTCGGGGTGGGCAGATCACTTGAGCTTAGGAATTTGAGACCACCCTGGACAACTTGGCAAAACCCTGTTTACAAAAAGTACAAAAATTAGCCAGGTGTGGTGGCTTGTGGCTGTAGAACCTACTTCCCAGGTTCAAGGGATTCTTGTGCCTCAGCCTCCTGAGTAGGTGGGATTTTTTTGTATTTTTAGTTGAGACGGAATTTCACCGTGTTGGCCAGGCTGGTCTCAAACTCCTGGCCTCAAACACTCCACCCACCTCAGCCTCCCAAAGTGCTTAGATCACAGGCATGAGCCACTGCACCCGGCCTGACTTTCAAATCTCATTTACGACTACAGTTGATCCTTGAATAACATGTATTTGAACTGTGTGAGTCCACTTAACATGTAACAGATTTTTCTCAATTAAAAATGGAATTTTTTGGGGGACTTGAAACAATTTGAAAAAAAAAATGTGCAGATGAGTCGTGTAGCCTAGAAATATTGAAAAAAATTAAAAAGTTAGGTATGTCATATAAAATATATGTAGATGCTAGTTTTGTATCATTTACTACCATAAAATATACACAAATATATTATGCTAAATTAAAATTTATTGAAACTTATGGATACAAATGCTTATAGACTATATACATGGTTCCATTTGCAGTAAACAATAAAGAAATGTAAACAAACATAAAAGCTGCAGTATTAAATCATAATTGCATAAAATTAATTGTGAGACATACTATACTACTGTAATAATTTTGTAGCCACTTCTTGGTGCTATTGCAATGAGCTCAAGTGTTGTGAATATTCACTTAAAACTCCATGTGACACTAATGATCTCTGCTGGAGCAGTTAATCTCTTCAGTAAAAAGTGATCTCACAGTTTTCATTTATTTTTCATCATGTTTAATACCATACTGTAAACCTGGAATACATAATACCATGGGACGCATAGGCGGAGGATTGCTTTAAAAAAACTATGCATCTGTTTTAAAATAAAACATTTATCTTGATTATAAAAATAGTACATGCTTATAATAGAAAATTTGGAAAATGTAGGGACAAATACTTGTCATTTAGAGCCAACCCATGTTAACATTTTAATGTATTTTTTCATTTAGTTCCCCTTTTTAAAGTGCCAGTTTAACATTATTCTATATAATATTGTTGTCTGCTGTTTTCATTTGATGCCTGATTCTTGTCACTTCAGTTACGCATACTTTTTCTCATTCTTAAATAGCTGTTGAGATCATATTTTTAATGATTTTGTAGTTTTCCATTATATAAATGAATTATTCATTTAATAATTTACTTCTACTTATTGTTGTTATTTTTGTTTTTTTAAGGCAGTGTCTTGCTCTGTTACCCAGGCTGGAGTGCAGTGGTATGATCAGGGCTCACAGCAGCCCCAACTTCCCCAGGCTCAAACAATCCACTCACCTGAGCCTCCCGAGCAGCTGGGAGCTATAGGTGCATGCCACCATGCCCAGCTAATTTTTGTATATTTTGTAAAGACGAGGTTTTGCCATATTGCTCAGGAAGGCCTCAAACTCCTGGACTCAAATGATCCACTGGACTTGGCTTCCCAGAGTGCTGGGATTATAGGCGTGAACCACTGTTGCAGCATTTTTTTTTGAGATGTGTTGTCCAGCATGGAGTACAGTGGTGCAGTCATGGCTCATTGCAGCCTTGAACTCCTGACTTCAAGCAGTCCTTCCACCTTCCTCTGCTGCTGTTTTGACATTTATGTTGTTCCCATTGTTTTATTTAAAAAACATTGGTGATATGAATGATTTTTAATTTTTTTTTCAGAGACAGAGTTTTACCATGTTGGCCAGGCTGGTCTTGAACTTCTGACCTCAGGTGATCCGCCTGCCTCGGCCTCCCAAAGTGCTGGGATTACAGGCGTGAGCCACCGCATCTGATCTATATGAATGATTTCTACACAGTCTTTTTTTTTTTTTTTTTTTTCTGAGATGGAGTCTCGCTTTATCACCCAGGCTGGAGTGCAATGGCATGATCTCAGCTCACCACAGCCTCTGCCTCCCAGGTTCAAGCGGTTCTCGTGGTTCTCCTGCCTCAGCCTCCCAAGTAGCCAGGATTACAGGCACCCCCCACTACCCTGGCTAATTTTTGTATTTTTAGTAGAGACAAGGTTTCACCATGTTGGCCAGGCTGGTCTCGAATGCCTGACCTTGTGGTCTACCCTCCTTGGCCTCCCAAATTGCTGGGATTTCAGGCATGAGCCACCTCGCCCAGGCTATACACAGTCTTTATATATATTCTGATTCTATTATCTTTAGATAGAGAATAATTGAGTCAAATGACTTTGAATACTTTTAATACATTTAGAATATTACTATTAAGTGAGTTGTTGAATTTAGTTATTTTTATGGTGTGTCATAAGTTCTAAACTTCATGTAATTCTATTATAACTTAGTTATATTGAAGAAATTTGCAGTGAGATGAATCTTTAAAAATTTAAATATCATATGATTATATAATTACATACATAAAGAGTATAATTTTTTATAAGTAATATGTAATATATATGTGATTTCTAATATGTAATTATTTAAATACAGTTTTAAATTATATGTGTCTTAAATAATTTAAAACATTCTTTTTTGTGTGTACTTGTTTATTTTACCCAAAAACTCATGTGTGATGCTGATAACACATGTGTATAACATAGAAAATATATACACCAGAACATACTCTCCACTTCCCAGCTTCGTTTTATTAGAAATCATTTTGAAAGTCTCTAATTTGTTTTCAATTTAAAACTTTTTTTTATGGACACATAATAGTTGGACATATTTGTGGGTACATAGTGATGTGTTTTGATATATATAAAATGTATGGTGATTGGATCAGAGTAACGATCATGTCTGTCATCCCAAACATAAAAAACCAGAAATCCTCTTTCCATTTGTCCGTTTTATAAATGAGGGTTTCCATATATCTTATTCACTTATGTGAGGTACACATGTTTCATGTATTTTCTCTTTCATGTTTCTATGCTTGAGCGTATTTTTCAATCTGTTAAGAAATGGACTTGGTGTGCATTTATTTTCTAGATTGCTACGCTTTACGTATGGTCCTTCATTTCCTCCATTTAAAGTTCCTGATGAAGATGCCAGTCTGATCCCTCCAGAAATGGATAATGAGTGTGTTGCACAGACATGGTTTCGCTTTTTACATATGTTAAGGTATTACTATTTTTTTATTATTTCATGTGCTATTTACCCAGTAAGTGTCTCAGGGCAGGAACTATAAGTCTCTTGTTTGAATTCAGAATGTGGATGCTAAGCACCATTCATCAAATTGAACCCAGTTGGACAACAAGCACATTTCTGTCCTATGCCTTCTGCTCTGTGGGACATTTATTCCATTGTAAACGATCTGATTCTTAAAGTTTTTTCTTGCATATCTTCTCTTTCCGGCCTAATTTTTCTATTTGTGTATTGACTAGCCTAATTTTTCTATTTGTATATCAGTAATTCTGAATTACTCTTTATGACCTTTTTATAAGTTAGGCATGTTAATCATTTTTTATTATTTCTTCCCATTTTGTAGTTATAGTGCTCTTTGATCAGAGAGGTAGTCACCTATGATTTCTTCCAATTTTATTTCCTTTGTAATAGTAAGTTCTTTTATATACCACAGGATCTGCCTTTATACACACACACACACACACACACACACACACGTACACGTACTCACACACACATATATACACATTTACAAATATACACACATATATGCACACACACACACACACACACAACGCACACATATAATTTGTAGAGATGGGGTCCTCCTATGTTGCCCAGGCTGGTCTCAAACTCCTAGACTTAAGCAGTCCACCTGCTTCAGCCTCCCAAAGAGCTAGGATTACAGGCATTGAGCCACTATGCCCAGCCTGGGATTTGTCTTTAGTATATATATTACTTTATTAATTTCTTCATTTATTTTTGTATCAGATTCACACTCCTAATTATTTTAACTTTATAATCTTTACTGATATTTAGTAGGCCTAATGTTTTTCTCTTTCTTCTTCTCTTGGAATATTTATCTCTTCTTGCCTGTTTAACATTTCCAATCAATTTTAGAACTAATTTTTCAAGTTATAAAACATAAGCAAACAGAAAGAAAAACCTCAACAAAACCTTCTGGGGTTTGGATTGTATATTAATTAGGGTAAAGAATACATTCTGCTTTAGCAAATGAACCTGAAAATCTTTTATAAAGTCTGGAGTGGGACTGGCTCTGCTTACATAGTCTTAAGAGACCCTGCTGGCAGAGGCTCTTTCGTCTTCAACAGATGACTCCATTAGGGCCTCAATGTTATAAGCAGGAGTCTTGGATCTGGCTAGCAGATGGGGAACAGAGAGCAAGGAAAATTTTGTAGGAGGGTTTTATGTGTCAGGCTTTGAAGTAATATAAATCACTGCCACTCATATTCCATTGGCCAGAACTCAGACACACACCACACTTAATTGTAAGAGAACAGAGAAGAGGAAGTGGTGAACAGTTAGCCAGACTCTACCAAAGATGAGAATTGTATTAAGCCTGTATTTATATTCAGGAAAAGCTTATATCTAATATTGAGTCTGCCTTTTAAGAGTATATCTTTTTCTTTTTTTTAGAATTTTGTATATCTTATTGAAATGTTTTACAGTTTTCTTCACAAAGATTTTAATATTTTCTTTACCATTATTTCTAGGTATTGCTGATGTTGTGAAAAGCAAACTCTTTTCTGCAATTCTGTCTTCTAGATGGCTATTACTGCTGTAAAGAACATTTTTTACTTTATGTTATTTTGCATACTATATATGGCATTTAAAAGAGCTCTGAGTATTTCACTGATTCTTCTGAGATATGGACACATATCTGCAAATAAGTGTCTCTTTCCTAATAATTCATACTTATTTTGGTGACTAATTAAAAGTACTTTGGATGCAGTAAGGCTTGGACTTGAGTTCTGCTAGTTTTTTCTTTGTGAACTTGAACAAACAATTTATTCTCACTGTGCCTCAGTTTCTTTAATCTACATAATGGGAATAATGATAGTACCATCTCGTTGTAAGAATTGAAGAAGAAAAAGCATGTAAAATGATATGATGCCTAGTGCATGGTAGGTGCTTGAAAAGTTGCTATTATTATTACAGCTAATTCTGTATATTATTTTACCGCATCCATCAGAATTTCTAGAACACTGTTGAATTAAAATGATACTGTTTTGGCACCTTTTTTGGTTCTGATTTTCATTGGAATGCCTCTAATATATGGAATTTTGAGTAGGATGTTGGTTGTTGATATTAGATGTTCTTTTTTATGCTCCTGGTTTCCTAAGCAATTAAGAAATTTAAAAAATATAGGCTGGGCATGGTGGCTCACACCTGTAATAATAGCACTTTGAGAGGCCAAGACGGGCAGATCACCCAAGCTTAGCAGTTTGAGACCAGTCTGGGAAACATGGTGAAACCCCATCTCTACTAAAAATACAAAAAACTGGGCAAACTGGGCCAGGCATGGTGGCTCACGCTTGCAATCTCGATACTTTGGGAGGCTGAGGTGGGCAGATCCCTTGTGGCCAGGAATTTGAGACCAGCCTGGTTAATATGCTGAAACCCCATCTCTACTAAAAATACAAAAAATTAGCCAGGCGTGGTGGCACGTGCCTGTAGTCCCAGCTACTTGGGAGGCTGAGGCAGGAGAATCGCTTGAACCTGGAAGGGAGAGGTTGCAGTGAGCCAAGATTGTGCCATTGTACTCCAGCCTGGGCCATAGAGTGAGACTTCGTCTCAAAAAGAAAACCAAAAAAACAAAATACAAATTAGCCGAGCATAGTGATGCACCTGTAATTCTAGCTACTCAGGAGGCTGAGGCACAAGAATTGTTTGAGCTCAGGAGGTAGAGTTACAGTGAGCCAAGATCACACCACTACACTCTAGCCTGGGCAATAGAGCAAGAGTGTATCCAAAAAAAAAAAAAAAAAATTAAAATATAAATAAAATCAGAAGTAGTACTGAATTGTTTCAAATAATATTTTTGGATCCATTTAAGCAATTAAGTGGTTTTTCTTCTTTCATCTATTGATGTGAAATATTAATTAATTTCCCAATGTTGAACCATCTTATCATTCCTGAAAGAAAAGTTTTGCTTGGTTATGGAGTGCTCTTAATGTTTTTCTGAATTGTCTATAGTTCTATTTTTTGACAAATTGAATAGGAAAACTTTGTTTTGTTATGCTCTGCTGTGTCAAAGTTTTATGTTCTCAAGACTTTGAAATAACAGAAAACTCTAGTCCTAGAGTTTTTTAGAGGTAGTTCTTAGATAATCTTTCTTGTTGAGCTGACTGTGGTACTTTACTCAGGATCATTTTGGATGGAAAAAATAGGAGACTACTTAAGCAATGCAGGTGTGAAAAAGATTATGTGACGTTAAGAGCATTCTTACTAGGCTCCATGAAGCAGTGAACAACCTTTTCTCATGTTGGGGAGGGATCTTGGCAGCCTTAGGACAAGACACTCTGTCATTTGTCTTTCTTTGCTTTTTTGATTCTCTTGTGCATACACAACAACTATTCTCTTTTTCCAGCAGGCTTCCTCCTGAGTCCCTGTTTGAGAGGGGGACATGCAGTCTCTTGGTAACTGCCCAGTGGTGTAAATAGCTGTGATACTGTTTGACTTTAGTGCTTGTCTTTCAGTTCATGGGGGCTTTCCCTTTGCTTAGTTTCTCAAAAGGGAAAATTGGGTCAAGTTATCTTTGTTAACTATGTCTCTGGCAGACATCTGGATAACTCCTTTAGGACAATTTTACCTCCTTTCTTAAATGAGCTACTAGTGGGTAGAAGGCAGGTCATGAGGATTATTTATGATTCTGATTATTTGTGATTGTTGGTAGATTTCCTAGGATGAACGTGGGATATGATGGGGAGATAAGCATCAACATTTTGTCTTGTATGTTAGTGCTTTATCTTTTTCCAGGAAAACCAAAAAATGTTTCTCATTTGTTTCCCATACTGTTCTCAAATCCTTGTCTTTGGACTTGTGTATGACCACCTGCCCTTTAGGCCCTACCTGGAGATTGTTTAAGTAAATTTAAGTGGAATCTGGATTTTCAACAAGTTCCCCACATGTGTCAGGTACACAGGGCATTGGGAACTGCAGGAATGCAGTTTCTTGTAGCCTTTGTTACCCATTCTCGTTTCAAGTTTTATTTATGTTCTTGAATCTGTTCTCTGAATATTTGGGTGCCAATAAAATCATTCTGGGTTTACCTCTGGAGAAGCTGATATGAACCTTTCTCTCTCTAGTTTTTGATGTGTAATAGACATGAATTTAGCTGAGCTCTGCTGGACTTAGGTGTAGTCCATTTCAACCTTACTCCTTGGTCTTCTAATTTCTGAATAGTTGAACTACAGCTCCCAGCAGGCACTGCTGCTAGAGACGAATCTCCCCTCTTCTACCTCACGTGATGGACTACAGTTCTATGGAAACAGTGTGCTACCACTGGAAGCCCATTTTTTCATACATGCACATACATTCCCCTTTCCCCAATTATAGTTACTTGAAGTTAAGTCTTTTGGTGGGTGGAAAAAAGGTTTTGAAAGGCAGAGCATGTATAGATTACTGATTTCTATTTCTCAGCCTAGTTCTTTTGCCTTGTAGTTAGTGAAAATTCTGTTTACTGGCTTTAGATTATCAATATTACTTTGAATTAGAGAGGCATTTTAATGGAATGCTAAGCAGACCATTTGAGTGAAAAATCATAATCTGTTTTTTAATGGAAATATTTAAGCCTATTTGTACATAAAATGTAATTCAGACACAAATACATTGTTTTGAAATGTATGGCTTTAGTACATACACATGAATACAACATAAAACTATAAAACACCAATCCTGATTTTCAAATTCTTTTTTTTTTTTTTTTAAGAAAATTAGAAATGTTAATATTAAAGTAAGATTTTCTCCTTGGAATTCTTGTTGACATATTTATAGCTTTACCATTCCATTGCTTAATTTTTTTTTTTATCCTGAGATGGTCTGTTGCTCTGTCACTCCGGCTGGAGTGCATTGGCATAATCATAGCTCACTGCCACCTTGTCTTGAACTCCTGGGCTCAAGTGATCTGTCTCAGCCTTCCAAGCTGGGACTATAGGCTGATGCCACCATGTCCATCTTCTATTGTTTAATTCTAAACATACTAGAAAAAATATCTGTATATACTCTTAAAAAATTAAAACTTTTTCTAGTGTTACTTTGATTCTCATGCTCTGAATAGGCAATGTTCATGTAATCACACTGCAGATCTTCTGTAAAGAAGTGTTGATATTTGAATTATTAGCCCATTAAATACAAATCAGTCTCTTCTCTGAATCAAAGAAATAGATATGAACAGTCCTGTTCTTAAATTAGATTACATGTATTTTATTGCTATAGAAATTTCTAAATTTGTGATTAATTCTTCTCTCTCTTTTGATAGTAATCCTGTGGATTTGAGTAACCCAGCTATTATAAGCTCTACTCCCAAATTTCAGGAACAGTTCTTGACTGTGAGCGGAATGCCGCAAGAATTGAATCAGTATCCCTGCCTTAAACATCTGCCTCAAATATTTTTTCGTGCCATGCGTGGAATCAGCTGTCTGGTGGATGCATTCTTAGGTGAATTTTGTGTATGTTGTTATATGTATGAAGAGCTTAATTTAGATAACTCTAGAGGCTAACCCTAGGAGTTATTAGAAAACACTCGAGGAAAAGATGAACAGATTTGATGACAAATAACAAGCGAGGGAAAATTATTTGCAACAAATAAAGTAGCCAGAGGGTTATTGTTGTTTTTATGTAACTATTTAGGTAGGTGCAAAAGTAATTGCACTTTTTGCCATTTAAAAGTAATGTGGCAAAAACTGCAATTACTTTTGCACCTACCTAATACATCAAAGAAGTACTAAGAACAAGAATTAGGCCTAGTAGATAAATGGACAAAGGATAAGAGTAAATGATTGGAAAAGAAAAGAGTGTTCATGTACAGTAGCTATCCAAGAAAATACAGATGAAAGTGCATTTGGAGGCCGGGCGTGGTGGCTCAGGCCTGTAATCCCAGCACTTTGGGAGGCTAAGGTGAGCGGATCACCTGAGGTCAGGAGTTCAAGACCAGCCTGACCAACATGGAGAAACCCTGTCTCTACTAAAAAATACAAAAATTAGTCGGGTGTGGTGGCACATGCCTGTAATCCCAGCTACTTGGGAGGTTGAGGCAGGAGAATCAGCTGAACCCAGGAGGTGGAGGTTGTGGTGAGCTCAGATATGTCATTGTCCTCCAGCCTAGGCAACAAGAGCAAAACTCCATCTGAAAAAAAAAAAAAAAAAGTGCATTTCATTTGGGACCATTCTCATGTATATCATTTAAAAAGTAAATTATACCTTTTGTGAACCATTCTTTTAAGCTGTTTTTCACATTTTAGATATATGAAAAGTTAATTTTTTAACCTGTTGAAAGGCAGTGACGTAATATCTGTCATTTTCTAAAATATTTATGTGTACTTATTAACATATTACAGAGTTAATATATTAGCTCTGATTATGTTTGGCTGCCACCTAACAACCAAAAATCCTAATATGAACAAGATAGTTTATTTTCACATATGCTAAATCCAGGGCTAGGCAGTCCAGGGCTGGTATAATGGTTTCATCACCAGCAGGGATTAAAGGCCCTTCCATCTGGTGGCTCTCCATTCTTCGCACAATGCCTCATGGGCCGTGATGGTTGAATGAGTTCCAAACATCCTGTCCAGGAATTAGTAAGGAGAGTCTGCATATGATTGGTCCTTTAAGAAGATTTCTTAGAAGACCAACTCAACTTTCTTATGTTCAAAATGTGGCCACTTCTAGCTGTAAAGGTAGCTTGAAAATTGAGTCATTTTTTTCTTGGTAGCCATGTCCAGCTAAAGTTTGTGTTCTGTTACTTAGGAAGAAACAGTGAATGGATGTTGTGAGGGAACTAGCACTCTGCTATTGTCTGTGTGTCCCAAGCCTTCACTAGGTTGCTGGGAAAATTTTTCTGATGATATATTTTGATCTATGAAGAATAACTTCGTTTGTCTTTTTTTTTTTTTAAGGCATTTCTAGACCCCGATCAGACAGTGCTCCCCCAACACCCGTGAATAGATTAAGTATGCCTCAAAGTGCTGCTGTCAATACCACCCCACCACATAACCGGAGGCACCGGGCTGTTACTGTGAATAAGGCCACCATGAAGACAAGCACAGTAAGAGTTTACGTCACCATTGTTATGCTATATATGGTTGGCTTTTTAATCTGCCATTTTTAAAAATAAAGTCTTGCTGTTTTCTCAAACTTTTCACGGGTATGGGTGTATTCTTGTGTTCTTCTAATAGGTTAGTACTGCTCATGCCTCAAAAGTTCAGCACCAGACATCCTCCACCTCTCCTCTGTCAAGTCCAAATCAGACTAGTTCAGAACCCCGGCCATTGCCTGCCCCTCGGAGACCAAAGGTTAACAGCATCTTGAATCTCTTTGGATCATGGTTATTTGATGCAGCATTTGTTCACTGTAAACTTCATAATGGGATAAACAGAGACAGCAGCATGACTGGTAAATATTACTCAAGAAATATGTTATCATTTTATTCCTTTTCCTTTTTCTTTTTCTTTTTAGACTTTCCTACCTGCAAGATTAATATGTATCTTAAAAAGCTCTCTGTTTCTGACCAGGCAGTGTCTTGTGCTTAACCCCTTCCAGCTGAAGTAACAGAACTTTGGAAGTTTTCCTACCTGTTCTTTTTGTGTATGTTCTATGAGGTTTGGCCTTTTGTCTGGTTTTATTAGACATACTTAAGGTTAGCCACATTTTGTTGAATCAGATTTCTTTCGGTAGGTGACCTGGAAGTTCCCTTCATGTCAGCCAGGATAATAACATTTATATAAAGAATTAAAAATTTGAACTGGAAATTTAGTTTACAAGAAGTGTTTTCTTAGGTTTTGACAGCCATTCACTCATTAGTACATGTAAACAATCAGAAAAGTTTTCCTTTACACTATAACCTCTCAGATTTTAGTCTAGAGAACTTTATTTCAAGGACACACTTTCAAAAATAGTATTTGCTCTTTAACTTAATAAGCTTGATTGGTGGAGAAATAATAACTCAACCCTGATATCTCCATTTAGATTTTATTATAAAAAGGAAACTGTCTAAATAAGAGCTGGTGTTTTTTTTGGTCATCTCAACCATTATATTTGAAAGTAGTGGCATAGGGGGCATGATGGATGGATGGGGTAGTGCACAGTGTTTTGAATATTTATAATGTGTCTTAGCTGAAAAATGACAGTGGCTGGCATTTATTGAGCTGCTGTTACTGTGGGCCAGGTACTGTGATATATCCATTAATGAGTGTATTGGTTGTTTGGTAAGAAAGCACTTTTCTACTAGGGTTGGAAATAGATCATAACAAAAAGATGTCTAATTATATTAGTTTATATGTCTCTAGGGAGACTGTTAATTCCAAGGATAAAACTAATACAATGGCCAGAAGGGTCTCTGCTTTCTCTCAGAAATGAATTTTTAGCTATTATTATCATTTTTAGCTATTAACTAGGGTGTATGTGAACATTATACACATGTAATTATTTTGAATGTTCTTACAAATCTTTAAAAGAATTTAGAGAAGTTGTGAATATAAACACTTTTAGGAATATAATTTGAGAATGCCATGGTTGAGTTTAGGGATACCTTTGCTTACTTTATTTTGTTCAAATTCAGATACTTTTTATTCTGCCATTTTCATATTATAATTTTATTCATAATTTGAAAGTACTGTTTACTTCTGGAATAGGTAAATGTGCTTACTTACAATAAGTGAAAACTTCTAAAAAATCACTTTTGGGTTATGCTTGTCTTTATGTTCATGTACCTTATATTTTGAGTTTTCTGTACCATGTTTATATTTATTAATTTGTATTTTCTAGAATGAATCAGTCCTATTTTTCTTCTTTATTTTTATTAAGATGTAATTCTTACAATGTAACTTTTGGGTATAGAGCTATTGACACTGAAATCTATGAATCTAGAATGGCTCAACCTGTTGCTTGGTTGGTGGGCTTGCTTAAACGGAACTTATAGATCTTTTTGCTCTCCAGGGAGTTTGTAACAGCTTTGCTCACCCTCTTGTACCAGAAGGTAAAAACCAGACTTCAAATCATATGTGAAAAACGTCTTTAAAATTTTTCCTTGCTGGGGAGAGGATAGAAGTTCCTTTTCTCCTCATTGTGTTCAGAGATGATAAAGGCTGTTACATTACCCAGGAGATATCCAAATAGTTAAAGCGGTTAGAACGCTAGGTGCTAATCTTGAGGTCTCAGGTCTGGTGGGAGGCTTGGGTATACTAACTGTTTTTTAAGTACTGGCTGCCATCAAGGAATTCCGCCATGCAGTTCACCTCTAACTTAAAATGTTTGCTTCTTTGAACTGGTTAGCTTTAGATTTACATGACAGTACACTGTGCTTTGTAAAAGTAACATTGAGCTGGGAAGGGTTAATGAACTAAAATTTTAATGCACGTTATGGGCAGTTCGAAACCTCAGTTCTTTGTAGTTGTGTAATTTTCTTCGTTCATTGTTTTGCATGATACAAAACTCATAATTTTGGACCTGAATGCACAATTTCCTATGTTTTTGAACTAGCTTGTGGTATTGTAAAGCTTTTAATTTAACTTTTAAAAAGCTAAAAAGCTTCTTAATTTATTGTAAAATTTCACCATCTTTAAAGTATTTTATAATTACTACTGTCCTTTGATTTGTTTCCATTTATTTCTATTATCTTGCAGCATCTTTTATCCAAATTCTTCTTTCTTATAAATCTTGTAAGTAGGAACCAGAAGCTTCTCCTTAATTGCAGTCATGTTTTTATTTTTTTCATAATTCCATTAAAAAATTTGATTGTCATTGTCTCTTGTAGTTTTTGCACTTGGGAAGAAAAATCCTTTTCTGTGTTTTGAATGGGGAAGATTGTTGGCAAAAGCAAATTAATCTGCCTGAATCAGTCCCATTATTTCTGTATACTAGTCTGGTCATGTCATGAATTCAAGGACTTTGCACTAACTGTGTTTTGGCTTTTTTTTTTT